GTGAGGCCAACGTCTTAGAAAGGCCATTTCCGCCGCTTGAACTCGATTTGGAGGTTTCTCAGCATGGTCCTCGACTCATCACCGTAGGTAAGCATGGGAATAAAGATCGACTCGAACTCAGAGAGCTTAGTTTTCAGACTGAGCTCTGCTTTAGTCACAATCGGTCAGGTTGGTTCACGCAGGACGCCACGCTACTCCAATTCAATACGTTAGCATTAGTCTTCAGATTCAGCTCTGCTTTAGTCACAATTGTTCATGCAGAACGCCACTGGCTACTCCAATTCGCCGGTTCCTCTCGTCCTCAAATTTTCTATCACTAGTAAATACGACTCCCAAGGTACTTGAACTTCTCCACCTGCTCCACTGCTTCTCCGTTTATCGGAAGAAAGCAAAGGGAAGGAGAACGAAAAAACAATAGGCTTTTTGTTTTAAAGAAGTTCACGAGCATGCCGGCCACGTCGTACTCAGCTACGAACCTTTGCAGCGAATACTGGAGATCAGTTTCAAAATATGCTAACAAAATAAAATCACATGCAAACATGACACTTCTCGTTTCGACAACTACGCTGATACACTCTTAGTTCTGACTGCGCCTGACTATTCTATCCATGTACAACACAAACAGGAGAGGACACAGGAAGAAGCCTTGATGGAGACCAGTGCCAGCGCTGAAAGCTCTCGACTTGACGCCATTTACTCAACACAGCGTTTGCTATCAACATATAATGATTTGATGGCTTGTAGTAACTGTTGATCGATTCCATACGTTTGCAGGCACGCCCACAGCTTGTTGGGTGGGATCCGGTCATAGGCTTTTTCCAGATTCACAAAGCACATGTAAACCGAATGAACGAACACCCGATTTCTCAACCGTCTGGCGAGAGAAGAGGCTCTGGTCAGAGAATGTTCGGCCTGACGTAATGGTTCGTTGTACCATGAATCGTAGAGTTGACTATTCCGCAGCATCTCCTTTCTAACACCTTGCGCAGACTTTGCCCGGAAGGCTCAATGAGGTAATGCCCCGATAATTGGAGTACTGTTTATAGTCTACATTTCTGAACAGGTTCTCCGTTCTCCAGTCCACTGGTCCTAGTGACAACTGCAGTTTTACAGACTCATGATAGCTACAACATGCCTTATTTGCTTAATGCTTTAAGCATCTCGTTGAATTTCATCGATTCCAACAGTCTTGCCGTTTTTCAAGTCTTTTACAGCTTCTGATTTCAGTTACTGAACGATTGACATCCATTGCTTACTGCTTTTCAAGGGAGTCTTTCTGCGGCATCTCGGGGTTAAGCAGTTCTTCAAAATACTCTCTCGATCGCTGAAGTATGTCCTCATCCTTTGTAAAGTAAAGTCGGAACTACTCCTTCAGGACTGTTAGACTGTTACCATTCTTTCCTTCTCGGAGGCGGCGGATGGTCTGCCAGAATACCTCGTTTGCCAAACGGAAATTCGACTCCGGCATCTCACCGATAATTTCGCAAGAATCAGCTTTCGCTTTGGCTACTACGTTTGCCCGGAAGAAATGCAGCAAGTCTGAAAAGAAAAGAAATCTTCGCCATTTCTTCTGAGCATGGCTGATCCCTTTCAGTGAGGTGGCGTCCAGCTGCGAATCTGTTAAATTTGTGCTTAAACCGACGCTACGGTTAGCGTGTCAGAAACCGAGGCAGAAACTCAGGTTGAGTCTTTTTCACTCTGTCCGATCTACGCATCGCGCTGACTTTCATGTGGCAGCAGCACCGCAGTAGTTTGTTTTCTTGGCATCGGACTCTTCGAGTAGCTGGCACATTTTTGCTGTTGACGACGACATGCAATGGCAGACTGCCCGATGTTGTTTGTTGTTTACACTCTAGAAAAATGCTTGCGTGTTCGAGGCGGGTCGCTGCTGTTCTGCGTGCATCGCAGTTTTGGCAGCTGTTGATCAGACAGACAGCAAAGGCGCGCTGGCAACGGCTACGGCAGCGGCAACGGCACTGGTTTTGTGCAAGCCCAGCATCATGCAAGCAAAGCATCTCACGAGTAGCATACATGGGTCTTTCATCGTCTTCGCCGCATAGCGCACGTCGACTCC